CTGCAGTTCCTCTAACGGCCACCAGAGGCTCCGTATCAGTAACTCAGTTCTTTCTATCATCAATAAACTGACTGTATGTTTCATATTGATCAGACAGATTCACTGTTTATTCTCTGATATTGATCCATTGTTCTGTTTGTGTTCAGATCATTAAAAATTCAAAGATTATATATTAAATAAATGTAATGCAAAACGTTATTTTAACTGAGTTAAATTAACTGGTTTTACTTTGTAATTTAAACTTTATAATAAGTGAGTTTAGTTTAATTCACAGAAAATCATCATAATGTCGACATATTCATCTACTGTGTGTATTTTTAAAGTTCTCTGACCCCCTGTGAAGCTCTGGCGACCTCTATTGGGGGTCACGACCCTCAGGTTGGGAACCAGTGTTCTAGGAAACGTTATTAGTTATTGAAAATGATTACAGAACTGTGATTGTTTAAAGCAACAGGTTTATGGGGACCAAATGTTTAAGGCTGTATGTCCCCACAGATATACTAACACAAGTATGTGTGTGTGTGTGTGTTATTGATCAGGTAGTACGAGACCCCCCACTGCTGTCTCACACACACACACATAAAAAGTCTGTTTAACCCTTTGTACTGTCTCAGGTTCTCTGCCGGGCAGCGAGAGGTCCGTCTGTCCCGCTTCGAGTTCTCCAACGGGTTGGAGGGAGGAGACGCCAAGAAGAAGAAGAAGAAGAAGAAGAAGTTTGGTGCGTCAGGAGAGGAAGAGGAGGAGGAGTAATGAGGAGGAGGAGGTGACTGTACAGGACTATTACAGGATGTCTGCAGGTCCTGATAATGTCGGACTGTGTTCAGACTCATTTTAGGGACGTGATTCACAAACGTCGAGGTCGACTAGATTCCTGCTGACCTCTGAACTGGTGTCTCTTTATTCACACTGTGAGGAACTCTCTTCTTTATCTTCTTTATCTTCTTTATGTTCATTAAAGCTGGAACATTTTCTAACCAACTGAAGACTGAACGAGTTTTGTTTGTTTGATATTTAAACACAAAATATATTTCTACATCTGGATAAAACAGTAAAAGATTAAAGTTTTCTTTTATTCACTATTACTGCAGAGACAGACAGACAGACAGGTA